GCTTCAAGCTGTGAAGCAATAATCTTTCCTCCAGCTATGTTTAGTGTTCTCTGCTTTGCTCGGCAGCTGGTTGTCTTTAGGACCCCATGGCGAGTCTGTCTGCTTTGGAAATGTAAAGTTTTCATCTTTTTCTGTGTGATAGAGTTTCACTATTTGATGGAACAACTGCAGTTTCCGCTATCATCTGAAGCTAATTCAAAAGCAAGTCTCCGCCGCCGCGCAGCCTCCCCCGTCTCCGTTCTGCCTCCCTCACCTTCTTAAACTTTAATCGTCTCATATTCGATACATTTCACGGCAACTTGTCAGAAGGCTCTCCCGGTTTTTCAAAAAGACGTCTTCCCCTTTTAGCCTCAACCTCAGTGAAGATTCAGTGATTTCAGAGTCTTCCAGTCTGTTCATTACCGGGCTCCCTGACACGGCAGTGATGCTCACATGCGGAGCTGCACGATTAATAGATTTGTTTTCAACCATCAGATTTTTCGGCAACTATTTCGATAGTCGATTAATCGGTTTGAGTATTTTAAAAAGAAAAAAAAGTCTAAATCCTGTAATTCCAGCTTCTTAAATGAGAATGTTTTCTGTTTTTACTTTTACTTCTCTCGGACAGTTATGTCGAAATATCTTTTGAGTTGTGGACAAAACAAGACATGTGAGGAAGGAAGTCATCTTGTGCTTTGGGAAACATTTTATTGACCGAACAACTACTCGGTTAAAACAAATTATTTATTTATTTATTTTTTAAATCGATATTAATAGAAGCTGACGAAATAGATTTCATTGTGATTTGTTTTCCTTGTCACTGTCGGGAAAATAACATCCATCCCTCCATCTGGTTGCAACAAAAAAAAAAAAGAAAAAGAAAAAGAGAGAGAGACATGCTTTTTGTGTTTTCTTTCTTTCTTTCGTTCTTTTGTGATTGTGTCAGAATGAGGCCATGACACCTGCTGTTCTCTGGATACCATGTTGTGTTGGCCACAGTATGCGGTCTGCTTCAAACAATTGGCTGGCTGGCCTGGCTCAAATCAATGACCAGCAACACACAATGTGTGATTTGGTTTCAAGACGAGCTCTATTGATCGGTGCCGTCAATGCTGGGAATTAATTTTTTTTATCACGACACTTGAGAACTTTTAGAATATTTCTTGAAATCCAAAACAGACATTTTCAAAACGACGACAAGCAGGAATGGATTCAAACATGTGCATTGAGTCAAGGAGAAGAATAAAAGATCTGCCTGCTGGTTGCGGTGCCTGCGGTTTGTGTTGAAACGTGTTTGTGTTTGTGTTGAAAGCAGAACAGCGCGCTTTACTCGGCCTTGCTGGTGAATATGCGCTCTGATGGACTGCCAGCAGCAGGTATTAGACTACAGAAGATCAAACAGCCGGAGGTGTTGTAGCTGAAGCTGGAGTGACGCTCTTTGTTTGAATAAATAGAACTATATAAAATATCAAATGTATTCATCATTGGCTATACGATTCTTTATCTCACTGGAAGCAGAGCTATGGTCCAATGGGTCGTGATCAATCAATGATCTTCCAATAATCATATATAATAATATTGTCAAATACTACAAAATTCACAGAATCTCTTGATATCTATCATATTGAACTTCAGAGGGCCCCCTTATGGCGCTACAACGATGTCACCGGTACAACAAAAGCCCAAAACTAACTTACATGTTGTTGTGAGTTTGGTTTCCAACAACACTGATTATTGAGGTGCTGCAGGCTAAAGGAACGGCTCAGTCTGCTGTATCGAGACCGCGCCGTAGGTCAGAAACACCCAACAGAGACATGAATGAATGGGATGCAGAGTGAATCCAAATGCAGATGATATAAGACGTTACACGGTTATTGGTTTGTGGCACCCCTTAGATCAATATGCAGCTGCAGATTATTGTATTTCAACTACGGCTCCTGTGTTCAAGAGGGATTGGTAATAGCACTGCTGCTATTAAATATCAGGGGAGGACGGATTAAAAAGAATCATATTAAAGGATTAGACTGTGCAGGGAAATCCACATGTTCCAGTGGGCTATCTGTGGGAAGAGACTTTTTTTGGAGTAATACGAGATACAAACTCCAGCTTTGGCCCATGTTTAAACCCTATAAAATCCTTTCCAACGCTAGATAACAGACTGGTAACATTCACGTGCAAACATTTGACCCCAGCATAGATCTGTCACAGAACCTTTTGAAGGCATGTTGCATTGTTGGGATCTATAACTCGAATCACGAATCACCCCAATAACAGCGCTCACTCTTCAACCGTCAGTCAGTGGAAAGAAGATTTTGTGATATTTCTGCCGCAGTTGACACCAATTAGACAAGTGCTATTTCAAGGGGAGTAGAAGCATTAAAGGTGTTTTTTTTACGCACACAGGGTGAAAACACAGTAGATTGTGTTGGTTTATAGATTTTATAGTCCCATATCATTCAGGCCGACACTTCCTGGTCCCTGTCATCATGTCTCTGCACATCTATAATTAATCAAAGGTAGGATGGTGAGAAAGAATCACATGGTGGTGAAATGTTGGTTTATTCACCATAGATCTGTCTTGTTAACATTAGCTTGCATTAGCTTGCATTAGTATTGTTCATTTTCGCAAATCCAATAAGCGATGACGTATAGCGACCGTCCGTTGAATTATCACATTCCTAGTAAACCGATCTTCTAAGAAAACTGTTCTGTGGATCACAGCATCACGAGGAAGAAGTGGAACGCCGTACAAAGTGAAACTGGACTCTCCGCTGACCCGGTAAAGTCCTGTTCATCAGCAGGACACGGCAATAGTCGCGGTTATTAAAAACATGGATTCAGAGTGCTGCAGTGACTTTACATCCGTAACAACCGCGGAAAAATACATAAAAATTAATTAACGGCCCAGCAGGGGATAACAAAGTGCAGCTCTAAATTAACTATAGCCCACTGTTCCATGTGGTTGGCTTTACATCAGGATGGACGACGCCACCAGATGGTACATTTAAACTCTCAGCACTTGTCCTGCACACAGCCGCACAACTCTTAACCTCATCATTAAAGCTGAAGCAAAGCACATGAAGAGACATCATTTATAACAGCACAGAACACACTGCAGCAACGCTAAAACAATACACCTGCTCTGCATCCCAAATTAAGGGGAAATAATTACTCCATTTACGGGTTTTATTACAGAGTGGTTTGTGCAGGGGGCATAGCTTTCAGACATGTCTAGGCTGGGCTGTGTCCCCACTTGGGCCGCGGGGTTTATAAAGCCAGGGTCTCCAAACAGTGGAGATCAATAACGGCCTGTCAGGTTTTTAGCGTAGCCACGGAGAGCGCAGAGACACAGGGACCACGGAGAGGGAGCTGCATCCGTCCATCAGACTCTTTGTGACTCCCAACAGCTTTGATTGAAGATGACAGAAAGAGAGAAAGAGAAAGAGCAAGTGAGGACAGCAGACAGCTCGAAAAAAAAAAAAAAAAAAAAGACAGGCTTGCATGATACTATTGGCCGGCTCTTGAGGCCCAAACTCTGGGTCTTTCCCTTTTTAAACGCCGCTGGTCTCTGTTGCCCGCCTTACAAAGGACTGTCAGAGGCGAGACAAAGTAGAAAGGTAAACCCCTGAATAAAGCCAACAGAGAGGCATCTGGGGAAGGATCTGCATTATATCTGCTGCATCTGCGCACACACATTCCCACATATACTGTACCTTTAAACACTCACGTGCGAGGCGAGGCACCTAATTGCTCTGGCAGCCATTGAATGATGACAATGGCCACGGTGGGAGATGGCGAGACTTTGTCGGGATCTATGTAATTATTCAGCCGCACAAAAGGAGGGGCCGATGCGGTGCCAGAGCAGATTTACTGTGTCTGTGGTCAGTGCATTCAGCAGGGTGTCTAATGATGTGCACTTATGGGCTAAATTACCAGAGCATTGTTTACCTCTGCTCTCAGAGTGCAGGCCCCACAGAGAGCAAGAGCCCAAGAAGGTGCCGGAGCAAAGAGAGAGCCCAGATGGATCCGCCGAAGTTCAAATTAAAGCAAATGATCGGATAGTGAGGAGGAAAGTTGGAGAGAAGATGAATGGTATCCATGGAAGCAGAGGCACGGGAGAGGCTGAAATGTCGAACTCTTTTTTTTTTTTGGTAAAGGCCCCGTCTCTTCACACGCTGCTGACAGCCAGCTAGCAAGCAAATCCCCGGGCGAGGGGGTGGAGAACACAAAGTGTACAGCATTTCCAAGCTGCACTTCTCTGTATAAGCCACACAAACATGATGACAAATTACAACTACGCACACACGAGCCACAGTCAAATATTGCAATTTCTGTCTCATTAAAAGTTGCTTTCTAGCCTTTGTCTGAAAGGAGCAATGTGCAGCCGTGAGAGTTTTTCTTTATTTTTTTACATCCATGATATTACTCAGAGCTCATATAATGATGTGGTGCTTTTGGTTTGTTTGCTTGTTAAGAAAAGCACCACCTCCAGCCATCAGTTCTGACAGCAGCGCCCATTTGAGCCGCTGTCAGAGGTCATTTACATAATGAAAGACAGAAATTACCAAGGAGGCAAAGGCATTTGGCAGGGAGAGAAAATGAAGATGGAAGGAGAACGGTTTGGCAAGAAAAAGGGGGCATTGGACAGAGAGAGTGCAGAGAGAGCAGCAGGACTGGAGTGAGGGATAAGGGCAGAGAGTGCAGGAGGCAGCAGAGAGAGAGAGAGAGCGGAGGGGCTTGAAGAGCTGAGACAGTTGAACTATGAAGACAGCCATGTCAGTGAGTTGGACAGTGCAGAAACATTTGGAGGAAAGTGGAAGATGAGAACTGGAAGACAGAAGCGAGGGAGAGACGGGGAAGCTGAAAAGCCTCAAAAGCATGAGGAAAGTTGAAGATGAGGTACAGTTGGGGAGTCTTTACAGATTTTAAAACGTTGACACAGGGAGAGACGGAGACATAACCGTGACGGAGTTGTCAGAGTCAGAAGGCGTTGCGGCGTTCCATCCGGACGGGGCTCTTACCTTGGCAGACGCTGAAGCCACCGACGGGATGCCTCGCTTGACCGCGATGTCGTTACTTGATGTTGTCACGGCAACTGTGACCGGGGTGGGGAGGAGGGAGGGGATGACCGGGAGGGGGAGGAGCCCCGGACGGTTGTTGCCATTGACAACGGCAGAGGCACAGCTGTGATTGGCTCCGCCGTTGTGGAGGCCGGACGGACGGATGTCTCTCCGCTCCCAGGGTCCCCGGTAGTCCCTCTCAAAGCGGTGGTGGTGGCGTGACATCACTTCCTCTTCCTCTCAGAGGGAATAACAGGGGCAGGCCTGCAGGAGATGGACACAAAGAGGGAATAGGTGAGGTTGGAATTGTATTAAATATATGCAAATGGTGAGGGGGGGATAAAGACACAAAAGCCGGGTTTCTATCAAAGATAGAAAAAGCACCATAGGACAAATAAAAAGCGAGACACCAAGTGAATTAAGGGGAGAACATGTTGACACTAGGGGGTAAACGCTCACAGCATCTGCTCCCATTGCACCTGACTGACATGAACACAGTGCGGCTCATTCGTTGCCTCTAATTCCCATTCTCTCAGTCATTACCGAAGGCTGCGACAAGAGAGGGAGAGAAATGAGCACTGCTGAGCAGGTCTATAAAAAATATATAAAAAACACACCATCCGTGCCAACATCATAAAGAGCTGAATTTGTAACGCTGGGCATCTGGGATCAGCAATAAGAGGTGAAAGCGGGACGGAATAAGGTACGCGCTCAGTGAAGTTGTTCCGAGGACGGCGCTGCAGTGTCGCGACCTTGCGGTCGAAACCCATTCATCTGAATAGATAAATACCACCGCAATTACGGCTCATCTCATACATCTAATGGCTGGTTAATTCAATCAGATTGCCCTTGAATTGCATTTGAGGGTTCTCCTCCCTTCAAGCACAGCGGGCTGTGATAGGCTAAGAGGCGAGGTGAGCTGCAATTACATCAGTATGGGGCATGGCGCTATTGTGTAGCATGAGCGGCGCGTCACTCTATATTACATCGTGAATCAAAGCGGCACAGGATCTGAGAAGTGGAATCCATTCACTGTGGGGTTTTGCGGCGCATTGTACTCCTCCTCAACCAAAGGCAGGCTACGCTTCCCGAGCCCTTGATAAACAGTTGAAATAAATAAATAACAACCTCAGAACCAGGTTCTGCAAGCCCCATGCTAAATCCCCCTGGTTTGTAAGGAGAGAATGACAGCGGATGATAGGTCTTTATTCTTCACGCTGGGGTCTGTCACGCTGCTCCTTGCCTCGCAGAGGAGCGAGCGCCTTGAAATGCCAGCTTCTGTGTGTGTGTGCGCAAAAGCAGCATATACTACAAGTGAACAACTGTGTGTGCAGGCGGGATGTAATGAGAACACACACATGTTGAAATCTCCAGTGCGGACTGCTGGAGCAGGCTGTTGGAATTGAAAGGTTCTTTGAAACGCTTTGATGCGAGCGATACACGCTGCAGCCTGTGGTGGGAGCACCGGGCCCTCTGCATCTTTAGCTGCTGTGACCAGCCATTCATTTACCCGCTAAACCACTCACTCGTTCTTCCCTTTGTGTCAGTCTCCGAGCTGCCTTTTTTTTTTTTTTTTTCCATCACACATTTTATTCCCTCTTTCAACCCCCCTCCTGTCATTTATTTCCCTCTCACACAAGGTCTGCTCTGTCCAAATACAGCAAGCTGACACGCGGCGATAGAGCCAGACGGAGCTGCTAAGAGCTGTGGGACAACACTCTCACGCTCTCTTTCTCTCTGCAAATAACCTTCTCCCATTCCGCAGCGACCCCTTTTAACAACCTCCGAATTTCCAAAAGAATAAGCTTTGTATTATCTCTAAAAATGTTTGAGGCAGAGAGAGAGAGAGAGAGAGAGAGAGAGAGAGAGAGAGAGAGAGAGAGAGAGAGAGAGAGAGAGACAGAGAGAGAGACAGATAGACAGATAGAGAGACACAGAGAGAGAGAGAGACACAGAGACACAGAGAGAGAGAGAGAGACACA